TATATTTGAAAGAAAATTAGACAGGCGAACTAATATGGCTAGGTGTCAAAATAGTTTGTCCGTTGATTTCAGGGTTTAATGTAGAAAGAAAGTAAATTATGGCATTTTGTCTTTTAATGCAATGGTTTCTTCCGTTTATCCTTGTGTACAGCTGCAGTTTGAGTTCTGAGCATCAGTCCAGGACATAATTATCGTACTTTAACCACTTATGAAATTGGATAAGTCATCGAGTCGCTGTTTCATTTTATGGATTGGTACTAAATCCTATATCTAAATAAAAAAAAAATGTCTTAAAACAAAAAAAAAGAAAAAGAAAAATGGTGTATACATATTAATTAATGTTATACTATTGCTCTATAAATTATTTTGTTTCACAACACTTTTTTTTATTTATTTACACAAAAGTTACAAACTATTTCGTTCAAAATAAAAAAAGCTATAGAATTTTTTGAAGAGTTTTGCGTCAGGTACATGGAAATTTTTCACAAAAAACTTACAGCACACTCACACACACGTGTGGGTGCCACACAATTTTTGAATACATGGTGGGGGCCCACCATGTGAGTATTTTGTCAAGCTTCTGTGAAATTTTCCCTGAACTTGAAGATTATTTGTTTTTTAAATATTTTAGTTCGTCTGTATATCGAGTTTTGCCTACTAAAATATCACTTGGCATTAAGGTGTGGAGTTTAACAAAAAATACGTGGGTTCAAGTCACTGGTATTCTATAAAATTAAAGAATTTTAGACATTTAATGTCGGGCTGAATCCAATTGATTGATTTCTACCCGTTGTTTCGGGGTGGAATCGGACGAGTCTTACATTTTTATCAGATCTGGTCATATCGAGGTATCTGATGCCATCAATATTTGTTCCAAGACTAGCCCGATCTCGAGCTGAGAGAGGAAGGAGCACAAACAGGACCTTCGAACAACCTGCAAAAAAGGTTAGGGAAGATGTTCCTGTAGCCCTTTCGGTGCACAAGTCAAAAGGCCATTGAATAGAATGTACACACACTGCAATAAATTGATCATACCTAAATGATGAATAAATGCTAGGTAAATATAGAACTAATGAGGTGGAATCCTGCAATGATTGAAACTGTGAGATAACCATTAGCAAACTAGATAGAATAGGACTCCTGGTGGCTTTAAAATTTCTTTTGGAACCAGGAGACATGACGGAGTAGGGCTCTTTGCGATGGTAAGACAGTGGAACCCGGGGTGAACCTGCACAAGATTGTGGGGGTCATCGAGGTGAAATGGAACCGACTCAGGGCCGGTGGTGAGTGCCCTTGACCTCGTGGATGAGGCGTCCGTCTCAGAGGAGAAAACTAAGAAAATGCGTAATGCGCATGGGGCCGGGTACCTTAGCACCTTCGATCAGCCCTGGAAGTCATGGTACCATGATACCCTGTAGTTCATTGTTTGATGAAGTTGATATGTGTTTTGAAAAATCAATACCTCTAACTATGGTATTGGACTTCATAAAATCTATTGAGCCCTACTTGTTGAGAAAAGGTTGTTCAAAAACTAATAAAGGCGGTGTGCATGGAATGAACGGGACGGTGGCCAAAAGTTTGGCCTATGCGACCGTATAGGTCAAAGAGACATGCGATCGCACAACCGTATGCCGAAAGTGATGCCCGGTTTTTTGCAAATCTATGCGACCGCATGCGGTCTCATAGAGTAAATTTATAACCGTTGGAGTAGTTTTCAGTTTGAAACATGGCAGCTTTTGGAGGGTATTTAGCAACTCTTCCATAAGTTTTGGCACCAATACATGGGGTATTGATCAATGTCTATATATAGGATATAAGATGATCAATGCAAACAAGAAAATTAAGTTTTGGCACCAATTCGTGGGGTATTAATCAAGGTCTATAAATAGGCTGCGAGATGATCAATAAAAAAAATATGAAAAAGACTTGAAAAAGGAGTGTTTATAATATTCATTCCACAAAGAAAGAGACCATTTCTTTTTCCTTCCATATTCATATATCCCTTTGTGTTCTTGGAGTTTTGGAGAATTGCAATAGTGCTTAAGTGTAAAATTCTTTACAAGGCTTGATTAATTCTCCAAACTATTTGCCAGAAAATCCTTTAAGCACCAAATTGTATCGGAGATGGGGCAAATATTGTTTGAGGACAACGATTACATGTGTGAACATGTCATGTCATTGAAGTTCTTGATTATTTGCATCGGTTTCTTCCAATCTTTTGAGCGGAAGATCAAATGACTACAAAAGGAGAGACTGCAATATGTAGAAACATCATATAAGTTTATCGTCTTCTTTTGTTTGTTTCCATATTGCTTGCGGGGCGAGTGCTTCACAACTGATCGCTTTAATTAGCATCTTAATAAAATTAATGAATATACCTTTGATCGTTTCATCTATGAGAAAGGGTTTAGTAAGACTGTCCTACGTGCATATGTGATAGGACTAACATTTAGATCATGACATCTCGGATCTTGAATCATTCAAATCATGACACTTCGATATGTAAGATCCACTTTGTTTCTTTCTTGCACTTCAAATGTCGAGGTGTCATGGTTTAAGTGGATCGGGGTTCAATGTGTCATGATGTAAATGATTTGTCCTACCATGTAAACCCACGTCAATGGTGAAAATAACTCGTTCACATCATGGGTAGAAGATTATTTTTGTTTTATTTAAAGTAATGTTATTTAGCACAACTGATATTATAACACAAGTTTTGGTGGCATTAATATTATTAAATGAAAAATATAATTAAATGAATCGCATAATTTCATATTTAATTAAACTCATCACATAATGTCACATAAACTGATACTCTAACACCATTGTTGCTAGTCATCATTATTATTTTCTCTTAATCTATATGTACGATTTTCTCTTGCTGACATGGCACATAAATTTGTTGAACGTGAAAGGACGCATGTACTCACCAGAGACGTAGAATATGGAGAGAGAGATGTGTTATAACATAAAATAAGTTTTAAATTTTCAAAATTAAAACCTTTTTAATTTTCAATTTTAAAATAAAATTAAAACACATAATACATATTATAACTTATGTTTTAGTGGTATAAATGTGGGGGTTGAAATTTTACCTATAAAAAGTGATTAGATTTCATTGTTGTATATATCTTAAAAACCTCTTGAAAGCACTTCCAATACATTACGTGTTCTTATACTTTTGGCAACTTGATAAAATGCTCGTTCTTTATCTTCATGTGATCATGCCCATAGAAGGAAAATCGACTATGAATCATATGGATTTTATTTTGGACTTGCATAGAGTCAAAAGTACTCATGCGAAGGGGACTTTAGGACGGTGTCTTCGACGTAACCCCTAATGCTTACTTTCCAAATCTCCTCTCTTTTTTATGTTATATTATTGTTGAGTTGTATTTGTTAAATTGACATGTTAATCGATAAATATCTACACACAAATCACAAATCTTTCCCAACAAGATGTGTGTCCTTATCTAGAGAGAATATGAGCAGTAGTTATAACACATGATCGAGCTACGATCAAGTATGTGCTTTTTCAGGTGCTCAAACCCCCTTTCTTGATGGCCAAGCTCAATCATTGGTGGCATATGCAACCAATGCGATCGACCTTGACCAATTAAATAGTGGCAACTTGCCTTCATTGATTGCCAGACCTCGTAGTGAACACCGAGGGCAACATACGTCATCCAGTGGTGGCAAACGGGCCAAGCAACTCGTTGGCTTGTGAAAAGTCAGCTCGTGGGGCGGCTCAGGCTCATCACACGAGCCGAGTAGGCTGGCTTGGACGAGCGGCTCGTGGACGAGCCAACGAGTTCGATGGAAGGTTTATTTATTTATTTTAAAAAGGTTTATCTTTATTAAAAAAAAATTTGACGAGCTCGAGAACCGAATCTCTGCTCCGCCCACAAGTAACAAGCCGAGCAAAGGCTCGGCTCATGACGAGCACGACCCAAGCTCATGATCATACGGGCCAAGCCGACTCGATTCGGCTCGGCCAATTGCCACCTCTAACGTCACCCTTCTATCAACAATCTTGCGTAGGCATCATTTATCAGAATCCTATCTCGACCCAATAATTAGACATCAAGTTATTCGGACCACTAGAGTCATATTTGAGAGCATTTGGAGCCGGATGAATTACATTAGAACACCTCACACAAGTTTAATACATGTCAATTGACAAAATAAAATAGTATAACTGGCGTAATTTTTTATTTTTTATTTCAACGATATGCCATTTTATGGCTGGGGGTCACACATTCACACACAAACACACACATGTAAGTGCTATACCTTAATTATGTGTGTATGAAACAACTGTGATGCAATTTTCAGTAAATTTGACTGGCCGTAGATTGTTGAATCAAACATCCATGATTATCAAATCATGGGTTGATGATACATTTGGTATCAACTTTTTCCGATAAGACCGATGATACTGTGTTTGAGGAGACAAGAGCAAAATCCAAACCCCATTCAAATTATTGTTCAACCAAACCAAAAGCTTCCTCCCCACCAAATCTGACACAATTGCACAGTGCCTCTGATTCTTTCTTACACTGCTATCTTCGATTTTGGGTCCTCTACACTCCAACCCCAAACCAGATAATATGTAATTTGTAATTGTAAAGCATCCACGAAATATATACATACAGACCGTGTATTCATATATTGTGTCTTGGATCTAGCTATTATTCATTCAAGAAAAGAGAACTGGAAAATGGTGATGCTAAGAATGATGAAGAAGAAAATAAAAGCCAACAAACTTCTCACCAGAAATACAAGTAACTAGTATTAATGGCCACTGGTAATAATAACAAGAAGTAAGGCAGTTACAACTTCAGCATTTTCTTCACAACTGGCTTAAGACAGTGCCAATTATGCTCCAAAATCAACTTAATCTACTTATTCGAAATAGGGTTTGGCCCACTTGGAACTTCATGAGCACCAGCTCCAAATTCTTTCGAAGTACGTGAATTTCGCCTCTTTTTAGGATGAACATGAACATCCATTGAATGTGTAGCAGCTGCTTTTGGAGAATCCTGGACGAGACGCCTTGCGGACGAGACAGCTGACTTCATGGATGGCTTATCAGGATCAGAAGAGTGCACAAGAACAAGAGAGATGAAGAGAAATCCAAGAAGAAGAAGAAACATGTATGATTTTGTGGAGGCTTCAGAGCTTGAAGATTTGGATTTTGCCATGCAATTTGGAAAAATAAAACACCCCCCAAAAGAACCCATGAAATCAAAATCCATTAACCGGAAAGGAGAGGTGACAAAAAAAGGCAAAGGCAGAGAAAGAAGGGAGGAAGCTTCAGAAAAAAAGTGGAGTTTTGAAATTCGCTACACTTTGATGTTGAGAGAACAAGAATATGAAAAAGTGACAGAATGAGGGTTTACCCCACTTTTTATAGTTGATTTTTATGAGATTTTTAAATGGTTAAAAAATTATTATTTCAAATTATAATTTAATTACTGCTGGCGAAGGTACCAAACTACCTAAATGGTTTTGGAATTTAGCACGAATAATGCTGCGAAGCACCGCTTATGCTTATCTTTAATTTAAGTGACAGTGAACCAATGCCGGATGTGGGGTCTATTGTCACTTTGACAGGTTATTTATCATACGTTGTGCAGATTTGTCTTCTTTATTCTTTTTTCTTCTTGATGAGGTGAAGTAGAAAATTAGGGTTTATTTATTGTATAGATTCTCCTTTTTTTTTTTTTTAGTGAAAATAGGTTTAAGTCTTTGGAAAAATTAATAAAATAGATGTATACATCATTTTGAATAACAATTTTCCTTTTTCCCTTATACGATACGAAAAAAAAAGATGTAACATTAAGATCTGGCCTAGTAAGCATTTTGACATGCATATGAAACTATCCGTCGTGCACGAAAAAAAAAAAAGGATGCAAAATTAATGACCTCTAGATTGACTTCTATTAACTATTTAGACACGCGTATGAACTATTTGTGGTGGCTAGACGACATGTGAATAACAAATCATTTAATTTATCCAATTATCACTTGATTTTTAAAAAAACTACCGATTTCGGATAACTACCCTGTAAACTGGCGTAATACCGAAAATGCTTGAATTATTGAATAGTTGGAAAAAAAAAAAAAAACAATGCAACATTAATGAGGTCTATATCGACTTTTAATAGCTATTTTGACACACGTATGGAACTGTTTATGACGGCTAGCCGACATGCAAATAATAAATCATTTGTTTTGTTTTCTTGATTGCCAGTTGGAAGATCATGATGTGTACAAGACTAAACCAAGAAAAAACAAAATTTAAACCAAGTAATCAATGAATTAGGGATATGGGCATTTTAGTCATATTGGTAAACCACAATTTACTCCTTTATTTATGCAGCTATATAAGTATATATGGGGGCCATTCAAGTGACTAACGGTAAAGAATCTTGAAAGAAAAAGAGGGCAAGGTGAGATTGTGGTAGCTTTTTCTTCCTTGGCCGGTTGCCACCCAAATAAAATTCTCATATATTTTGGGCTATACTAATGTTATTTTATGTTTGGAGACATAGTTTTCACTTTATTTGTATGCTTTTGCTCTTTTTTTCATTAAAGAATGTCACTTTCACTCCCTCTCTTGCTAAATTCAAGGTGTGAGAATTGTGTAAAGGTTTCTTATTAACTTATTCATCTTTGACCAAGTTTTAATTAATGTAAACTTAAAGAAGGCTATCTAAGAATTGTTTTACACTTGACCACCCTATGAGGAACTTTTGCTAATTTTTAGTTTCTCATTTTCAATCTTTGTAAAGTAGATTATTTTGGAAGGAAAAAATGTTTGCACTTAAGTCATTGAATCTTCTTTATTTTTTTTCAGACCAATTTCTATATTCTCTCTTACTTTCTTTTTTATTTGATAATTGTGAGTGTCCAGACCAACTTGCGCGCACCTCGACTAATCTCACGAAATCCTGAAGTTTACGTCCGAGTACTCACTTCAGTGGCCCTGAGAGGATTCGAACTGGTGACAATTGGGGAGCAAACTCAAAGTCTGACCAATTGAGAATGAAGTGGGTTTATAAAAGAAAACGATAAAAATTGAGAATGAATTGAAGATTGACGATGTAACTCACATGTTGATTTATAAGTCAAATGATATCAAAATCAAAAATAAATTTTAAACATAAATTTCATAGAATCCACAACTTTTATCACCTTTCCAACTGTACATTTCACAACTTTTATAAAAATTTGCTAAATGTTTATGAAAAGTTATGTCAAACAACCCCTAAATTTATTAAAAAGTAAAAATTAATTTGTTGTTTAAATTTGTTAATCTCAATCACCTCGCTATCCTCTCCTCAGAAAATAAAAGGGACAGAAAGAAAATCAGCATCGTTGGAAATTGTGAGTACCTTGTGATATATATGGGGTACGTAAATATAATTTAAAGATGGAGAAAAAGCAAGACAGAAAGCAAAGCATCATATTCTCTTGTATAACAGATCAGAGCGATGACTCTGTCGTGGTTGTGATAGGGAAGTGGCAAAGGATGTCTTGTCTCCGCCATAGGGTCATTTGATGCATTGCATGGGTCCCCACACCATCGTTCTTGCTATATGCAATGGTACACCTTCTTTAGATGTACGATTGACACGCAACGCGACATTCATTTCGTTAAATATACTTTGTTCTTTAAATCTTGATACGTGCACAATTATCATAAATATACTTGCATTTTTTTGTCACGTGCAATCATGCAGGTCAAATTTACTTTATGGCAACAATTATTTTTCACGTCATAAATGATTTTTTTTTTTTTTAAGGCTAATGTTACTTCATGCATTTTTACTTTATTTTATTAACTATACAAATAAAAATCGAAAACTTTTCATCAAAGTAAAGCTCTTTCCTCCGAGGATTCTACATACCAGTCGGGCCGGGGGATCGAGGGGATAGTGCTGCGTGATTGGCTCTATAATGGAAATACTTTGCCTTCCCGTCTAACTCTCGGGATATAGAGAAAGGATTATTCTAGTGGTACATCACCACTTACATAAGGGTGTCCATAATGGACACCCGGCACCTCCTCATTGGAGGGAGTGCCGACCCCACCAACCCTCCCTCAAATGAGGAGGCGCCGTGTGTCCATTATGGACACCCCGATGTAAGAGGTGATGTACCTCTAGCATCTCCCATAGAGAAAAGCCTACTGAGTGCACTCATTACCCAAGAATCTATCTCTAATAATAATGAAACTACACTTCGGAAGGGACTCAACGTAACCTCCACTTAAAGATGCAATAGTAGAAAACTTACCCATACGAAGACGGGATAGACAATGTAAAATAAGTAAAAGAACTACGCTTTATATGTAGGACGTAGTCATACTTGTCGTGATCATATACTTAGGGTCTGTTTGGTACATATTTTAATTTAAGTCAAAGTCAAACAATCACTATTAACCACATTTTTATGGGTCTCATGGCTTTTCAACCACACATTTCAAAATTTTCTATCACAATATACTAAAAATCTAATTTTAATCTCCACCAAACACCCTCTTAATGTAGTAAGATGGAAAAAGCTATTATGATACCCTAAGGAAAGTCCATTTTGGACAAGTTATTTGCTAACTAATTCATAATGGTACTTGTTGCTACTATAGATAGCATTCAAATTGAGATTTATCAATGGAAAATAGACAAAATATTGAAAGTCCAAATCTGCAAAAGTCTTCATTTTCGAAAAGCATGGAAAAGTCGTTCAAGACTTGTGTGCTAGTTTAAATTTTCATTAAATAACCAAAATAGTTGCCTGGTCACTCAAATCGTGGGCAACCCATTAAAAAAAAATCATAAAATCAAGCAATATGACATCAAACCAAACCCTCGAGTCTCGTATTTTGCCTACATAACACACCAACCCTCATGAATCATGTGCTCATTTCCCTATTTCCATAACAAATTGCTTCAAAAGTCAATTAATCCAACCTTAAAGAAATCATTCAAATTATGATTGTTAACCACCAAGATATTAGTAAAAGATTTTCAACTTGTCAAGACAAGACAGCCTCAACCAATGATATCTACATGGTCTTCTTTGTTTTAGGTAAGCTCCCAAAATCATAGACTTCCATTCCATTTTGTCCCCAAATGTCAACAAATTGAGGTAAGCATTGGAACTTAATTTTACTAGCGTTTACATTGTAGGCAGTGTTGGATGATAGTTTGCTACTGCATTGTCTTTTTGTGATCATAATCTTGTATTATAATCAAGGTTGGGCAAAAACGTAAAAATGTAAAAATGAAATACGATACGCGAAAACATTATCTTCGAGGAAAAAAATTTGTAGGTTGAATTTCTATAAAAACCCACAATAAATGATTTGTCCTATATGTGCAAATCAAAATCGGACGGATCTTTACTTGGAGTAGAGCATAAATAATCCAAGACATTCGGCATAATAGTGTTATAACCATGCAAGCATTTTACATGTGTAAATTTACATTGTATTGTAAACATCATTGTACTCTAAATGACAAAAAATTAGACAATGACATGCAAAAAGCATATCTAAATTTGGAAAACGTCCATGAATATAGCTCGACAACAATCAACCTATCACTTTGATAAATCGTTTTCACCAGCTCAACTAAAAGGAAAATCCAATACCTATTTTTAAAGGGGCTTTTTTTGGGCAATGCATGCAGTCGACAAAATCCTTTTTATTCTAAACCCATCGATTCAGTACCTTTTTATATTCCTATCTTTCTCAACCAAAAAAAAAAAACAATTCTCTTTCTTTAATTATTCTTGAACTAAGAGAATTTCGAAGAAAAGAAGTTTTTGGTATCACAAATAGTTTAATGGAATGAGATTTTTTTGCACAATTAATCCCTGTTGGTATCTTCTACATATTCTTTTCACACTGTTTAAGATACACAAATTTCAACTTTGTGTAGTGGCTAAAAGAGTTATGGAAGGTCATCAATGACATGTATACTACACGAATTCAGCTTTCTATAATGCAGAAAAATATTGATAATCAAACACTTTAGGTGTCAACGATGGTCACATGTAGAGGCAACCATAGATGTATCCCCCCCTTGACATATGCCGTTACTCCCCAAACCAAACACAAAACCATAGAGGCCTCAAGACTCACAAGGGGGGTCTATTACATATGTTTACGTTCTCTAGTAATAGTCGTGTAAAAGTATCGAGATTAAAGATATTTTTGACGACGATGCCTTGTGGAACCTCGTTGCCTATGTTTTGTGGACCTGTAGCTTAATTCGTCAACAATGGTCCTAGAAACACCTGGTGATACACAAAACCTCGATAGATACCAAGATAGACTACAATGCTTCTTACCTCATTAAACCCTCAATAATCTTTTCTCCTATGAAATGAGAGAGAGAGTGAGCACGAGAGAGGAGAGAGAGAGGGAGATGCATTAGTTTATACAGCTCCCTTATCGTTCCACTTGGCATGTCTCTGTCCACTTATTATCTTTCTCCTTCGGTCCAAACCTTTCCTTACCATATGGTCCATATCTAACTTACAAATGAGATGAAGAAGAAAAAATATTTAAAGTAATGAAACTTATAAGCTTGCTACTTGTATAATAGGTATAGAGAATTTATTAATTTAAAGAGCGCCTGTGTAATAGTACATATTTGTAAAATTCCAAATTTCTAGTTATGCTTGTAATAAAGTGGCAAGAGTCATCGCTCGATGGGATAGAAATCGAGCCTTAATTGAAATTTTTGCAGAAATTTGGGGAGCTTAATTCCAATTTATAAAAATCCATGTCCTAGGGTGGGTTCTCCGTGCTAATAATTTAAGTCTGACAATTCATTCTATTTTGTGCCTTAGAGAAACAAGAAATTTCAATTTTAACGATGAAAGTTGTATAGACATCAATAAAAGATTATCAACTCATCCTACAGAGACCCTGAGCAAAACCGACTGAGTTGGCAATTTACTCAAACTCAATCCGAAACCCAGCTAGTAGATTGTACTCATTTCGTCAGACAATGAACCACTTCAAATCACTGGAGTAGTTATCGAGACCAAATCCAACACTACTCGAAACTAGGAAAATACCAAGTGACAAACTGTTTCCCTATTAGCTTTGCAAGAAATTTGTCCAAGTTCTCCATTGAGAAAGGATAAGTATACAAGGAATATCAACAGTAAGGTGAGAACAACATCCATGGTTCCAATTCAATAGAGATGCAAATCAAAACACTCCGGTTACAAACAAAATGTCAATCCATTTCTTAATATATAACTGCACTGGAAGAATACTCAAATCTGAAGGAAGGAGTATAAGAGCTCAGAGATGACCGGGATTTCAAGAAAGAGAAAGATACATCTAGACCACCAGAAATACTGAATAATGGCTTATAGTTTTGAACATAACGAATATCTTCTAGCCACTCACTATCTCAAAAGGCATCTTACAAGAAATATTAATGATGTAAGGATCCTCACGCGGTCCATGCCAAAAAATCAAGTCTCTAGCTTGACTATCATAAAATATGTACTGCTTCATCCATATTATTTCCATTATAAAATCATAGAAAAGAACTGATAGAACCTCAGCCAACAAATTCATAAGCATTGTTAGACCTTTATTTCCATCTTAGGGACTGCCTTATTCCAGAGTAGATAAGTCCCAAGGACCGTCCTATTAAGCAAACTAGGAAGAAAGAGATGGCATCACTGACTTTAGCAATAACCGTCCTTATAAATGGCATTGTGATATCAGTCAGTTCAAGAAATAGACTGAAGTAATACCTCCTGTAATACAAGAAGATGTTAGAATTAAGTTGACAGCCACCACAACTTGGCTTCACACCACCATTAGAGATTATGCAGATTGTATTTAAATAAAAAGTATATCATTTTCAGATTTGACACAATAACAGTATGAACTTTGAGAATGCAGAAGCAGAAACATGACAACTCTACCAGAAGTGTTGTAAACACAGACCACAGAAACGGTCAGCCAACAGAACCCTAGGATGAATCTTGATTTTTAAATTTCATCAATTGCATGTATTGTGGATTGCAATTGGGACAGGTAATACAATTACTTGCTCCATTTGGGATGGGTTCGGCTTAACAAATGGGTACACAGGCAGGTTGCAGATTTATTTTGTGATCAACAGCAGCAGGCCCAGGTCCAAGCTGCAAGGTTTTTGGTCAACCAGTATCAGACCCAGCGAATTATGCCCTTGTTTGAACCCCTTTTTTTTTTGGGGAAATGGGTTTTGTAATAGTGATTTTTAAAAGAATGTGAGGTTGAAAATGAGTTTTGAAAAAAATGGGGCTCAAACAAGGGCTATAGTTTATATCATTAAAATTTTCCTCACCCTTGAATATACATGTACTTGTATAATTTATTAGTTAAAATGACTTAGTTTTAACTAGGATAGATTTTTAGGAAGAGTGGTTTTATAATCATCACAGATTTTTGCATTAAAGGTCCCCAATCTTTACTCATTATATTTATGTCTCAAAATTTATTCGTCGCATTCTTATCGTCGTCATTTCAATAATTAGCACATTTATCCCTAATGATGGTTTATGTCAAAAGAGCTCCTTAGGAGAGCATAAAAAGACTTATTTGCCCATTATATTTGTAAATAAGAAGGAAAAAACATAAAAGTGCAACAGGAAATTTGTCCTTCATTTCGAAGTACGCTGACACAATCTTTAAACATAAACTACTGTCAGATATTATGAGCCTGTTTGATACAGATTCTCATTTTCTACAATAAATCAATTCTCATTTTCAAACACACATTCTTCAATAAAATAATATTTTCCATCAACATCAATTCCTTTTTCTTCTTTTTCAACCACACATTTCCCATCATATCACTATTCAAAAATCAATTCTTCCCCCAAAAATCCCTACCAAACACACTATATGTGGTAATTATTGCAAGATTCAGGATAAGAAAGCACCAAAAACAGAAGGTGAGGACATTAGTGTAACAATAAGCAAAGATTGAAGACCTTTAATGCAATTAAAAAGTTGTGCAACAAAATAAAATGTTGTGTCAATCTTTTAGGAAATGAGAAGACTTCAAATATTTTTCGTCTTTTCACCTTCGGAAGTGTTCTTACATGAATTCGTAATTGACTAATCAGATAGAGGAAAGTAAGTAAAAATAGGATTGGAAACTAATTGAAGTAATAGTTATAAAGCAAAACCCTACTTGATCACATTCTATTGTCTTTCTATCCTTACTAGCAAGAAAGAAAAGATATATAAATGTCTGTAGCATAGTATTAACAAGTATCATCTTATTTACATGACTATTAGAACTATGCATATGGAATATTACACAACAAAGGAAAGATGCTACAAATATTAAATAATCTACCATTATGGAAGAATATCAAGGTATATAGTAATAACTGGTCAGACTCCAAAAATCAATTATAATGTCAGAATATCATAATTTATAATATGACAGAATACCATAATTGATTCTACTACATCCAAAGAAAGTGATACTAATGCGCCTGTAATCTTTGCCCATTCCTTTCTTCTTGGTAATAGTAAGATCAGCAGAATACAAAGGAAAGAAGTGACGTACTACATTATGAACCTCATATTTACCCTAGAGACAATTATAAAATCTTATCATGGAAGCTTCGCTCATCAATACCACTTTTTATCTTTCGTTTTGATGCTGAAACCGAAAACATACAGTGTAAAATATAGACATGTCTTCTGGATGTTTTATAAAATATTCCGGAGTTAGCAGGAAAGACCTTACTCATTTCCTATCCTAGACACAAAGGCATGCTCAACTGCCACAATATAATTTTTTTTTTAATAAACAAACCTAGTCTCTGTAATGGCAATGAATAACTAGAAAATTAAATTTAAAATGAAATGATATCTTATGAAGCAAGAGCAGTTATTCGAGCTAATATTACATGATGACCAGAGATCTATATACTCATTCCATTAAGTGTGAATGCAATTCAAACAAAATACGTGAAATGAGGAGTATAACATACCACCCAGTCAAGTACCGTAATTCCATGGTCCGTTTAACAGGTAATGAAATATGGCTGATGACAGCAAAACGCAATGAAGATGATACAGATCCAAATCTCCTCAAACAAATCATTTTCCACCAATTAACATTTTCATCCTTGCTCCAGGATTCCTCAATGGGTTGGATTTGAAGTGTGCAAAGGTCAAAGTGGTCTTCGTACATAGATACAACTGCCTCCATATTCTGATGCAACCATTGGTGTAGCACCACCTGTACAAAGAAACAAGACCACTCCTTTTCATGATACGTAAAATTATCAGCATGTCCATAGTAATACTGATGTTACTATTCATTACATCACCCACTCTGCATAGTTCAACTAAATCCAGATCACGTTCTAGATTTGAGGTTACCTACAACACCAACCTTCAAAATTCATTAAATTCATCATTCTATTGAGTATGTTCTTTCTAATCCTTCTCTCTTTCCAGCACATGCAGTTAATCAGGTCCCCCTTATAGTCTTATGGTACATTAACCTTTGTAAAGAAATTCTTCAAGCTCAGGCCAATATTACCACCTCTTGAATTTATTTAATACGTTTATTTTGGGAGATATCAAACTATTCAAAATTATGTTAAAAACGAAATTCATTCTGTACTGTTTTATAGCTATGTACGGTCCTGCATTTATCCTATCACAGGCCACGATATCCCTTTGTTTCTCATATTTGACCACTGAGTGGGTAGAGGTAATTCCAATAAAAAGGTTCAAGATAGTTTTTATTTTTGGAAAGATACTTATTTTTATAGGTAATTTTGGATATTCATAAAAGTAATATTCAACTGCCAGATTTAATTTGGGAGGTAGATAGCTCCAGGATTAACCTGTAAAGTTTTGTACTGAAATGAACTGTATCAAACTGGCAAAAACTTCTATCTGTATATGCAAAACAGAAACTTCCAATTTTGGTCCTGATTTGTTGAACAATTACCCACGACAATAGAGCATCACTTAAACCTCATTTGCTGCACAAAGTTTCAAAGAAAAAGAAATCATCTTGTCTAAATTTTAGTCACCTTCCTCAGAGGATATGCAAGAGATAGGTCGGGTTTGTAACTACTTAAAATCCAATTGAATTTCAAATAATAAAACTTCACTTCCACATTGAGCATGAAACTCGTAATGTCGGACTACTCCATGTCCATAAACCAAGGTATCGAGATCCACCTCAAGGGATTGTTCTGCCCATACTACTTGGTTGATAATTAATCAAATTGCACTGTAGTTAAAACAAGGTGAACAAGCAGCATTTTACTCCCAAATTAATAATAATAATAGTAGTAGTGGTGGTGGTGGTAGTAGTAGTAATAATAATAATAATGAGTGTGTTCATACCACCATCTTATGAATGCAGTAATTCCAAGAATGACCAACTTTTGACTCAATCATCAGCAACAAAAAGATAAATTTACCTAAGTGAGAGCCATTCATTCTCTATTCTTAAAACGGCTCTAGTTCAGCTGAAATAATGTCACAACCACTGAATTTGAATAAATGAAGACAGATAATCATCATTGTACACCGACTATTTTCAGGTGACCGGTGAAACTTGTTTTGCTATTTCATTGACTTCAGTCCACAGCAGACTACACACTAAGATCGTGGTTGTTAAACTCCCATCTGGATCTTATGATCTAACGATTCTTGATAATACGATCCAATCATGTTGTAGGGTAGAATCTTACAATTTTATTACTGGATTAACGATCCTACCTATTCTAAGGATCCTTAAATCATCTATTTTTTAATAATTATAAAGATTTTGAATTATTCTTTAATGGTTTAAGTAGTCTGGTTGTTGGCAAGGTTTAAAAAGGCGAAACTAAATATTGATATGGTTTTTCTTTATGAGGCGATGCGTAAACCTCGAGACAGATTGATGCGTAAGCCTCACAAAAAATAAAAAATCTAAGTACAAGAATTATAAAATAATACAAAAAATCAAAGTTGGAGCATAAGTAAATATGATATATAGCCATTAACATATTTAGATATAGTCCACCTAAAAAAAGATGTTTAGCAAAAAAAAAAAAGGTATTACAGAAGTTAGAAATCACTCCATTTGTAATGGAAAAAAGAAGCAGTTTAAACTAAAAAAAGCCTAAGATGTGTAATGGCATAAATCTGGGTATAGTGTACCGTTTCAGGAAGATTTGACAATGATGTGGGGATATTGACAAGATGTTGCAGATTAAGAAGTATGGATACATAAGTTTTAGAGTTTATACAAGTGATTGGATGAAATCGTGTGTGTTAATTACATAAATCAAAACATTTATAAAATTTATAATTTCCAAATGTGTATATGAAGCAACTAATTGCATGCAAGATTTACTGAACCCTAAAAAGAAGAAAAGAAAATAAGAAAATCATACCTGATGAACTGATAAAGAAGACGATACTCTTCTTGAATTCTAATTTTTGAATTGAGTGATGCTACAAGTACATAATGGTCTACATAATTGTAGGTGGCATTGATCAACACCTTTAATTCAAATATGACACTTTCACATCAATGACGGGATGGTTGCCACATCACATTATGTCATCCATTGTGTACATTTAGTATGTACACTTAGCATTTTCCTTTTGAATTTATGTTGAATCTATTTCCTTTTTGGTCCTCTAATTTCGGCTGCCATTTAATTTTCTAGGTATTTTATTATTTTGTTTGGGCCCAAAATACCTTTTCAAATGGGTCTTTTCTTTTTTAAGAAAGACCCTTTCTAATTTCTTTTCATATAATAGAAAAATCAAATTTTAAATGAGGCGCACGCCTCATGTTGTGCGCCTCAAATTTAGAGGTGTGGGCCTCATATTTTTAGCCTAAAAAATACCGCATCGAGGCATACTACATGCGCCTTACTACCGCCTTTTCAAACCATGGTTGTTGGCTACTTAGATAGAGCTTCATTTTGAACTAAAGGCCAAATGAAAACTTTAGTGAAAACAAAGTAAAACAAAGATGGCAAAAAATAGAATCCCTATTATGAAATCTGGTATCTTTTAAGTCTCTTATCGTCTATGGGGAATATCGAAGATGACATTCATTTGTTTATTATATATATTTTTAATTCATTTCTTATCACATTTTCTATAATCACAGGTAAAATATTTCATTTGCATTTTTCTTTTTATGCCTACATGTATTCTGTGTTATTTTTTATTTTTAATTTCTAACTTGTTGAAAATCAGTTGTAGAAATACGCTTGGTTTCTGAGCTCATAACATTTTGACTTCTCATTTATTTATGGTTTTGCATAATTTGTGCAAATATGCATGCTAATTGGTGTCCATAAATTTGTCATTAAAATTGCAATTCAAATTTTGATCTTGATAATAAACTAATTGGAAGTATAATGTTGAATTTTATTTTTGGTTTAACTCTTAATTTGTTATTAAAAATATTGGATGTTTATCTATATCTTAATATATTAAAATAATTGATTTTTAAAAATATCTGACATTTCATGTGTCTTAATATTTTTAATAATTAAATTTAATAGAATCTTGCAATTTTCGATTTCATCCAATGGTTTGATCCTTTAAGACCCCTTAACCAATGTGATCCAAAAGTACATTCCTGACCATTTTGGCTAAGATGTCTCTTTGAGTAGGAGTTCAAGTTAAACATAATTCAAGACATCACAATTTTACCACCACATAAAATACATATTTAATAACTATAATTTATTTAGTCGTCCATGTTTTCATTCATATTGGATCAAAAAACTGAAAGTTGAATTCCCAATGAAATTCTGCACTAGTCATAAACAAGGTCAGAGTATTTGCAGATTTTTGTCAATTTATCCCCCATATCTTCCGCAATGTAGTGATTTCACAGTGTAGCAATACAAGAGATTTGGTTGCACGTATAATTGCAAATATATTTTTCGTTAAATTTCTCGCTTACAGAAGAGTCGCCAATTCACCAGTTACCACAGAAGGGAGTAAAATGACTAATACATATAACTCAATGAAAAATGAGAACGAAGCACTCACAAGCCTCTTGGAAATTAAATCGCAAATAACACAAATGTTGACCTTCAAAAATAAAGTGCAACATTTGATTTTTGATGTGTAGCATTAAATGTCAGTCCTTCATCAGGTTGAAAATATTCTAGCAGCACATTCATAGCAAATAAAGATTTGGACGAAGATATAAGAAACAGCATACACAAACAAGATTGCTAAAGCAGTAACTTGTACGCCTTTGCTTGTGCGACTATCCCACTCAAATTCTTAAAAGCAAGAACATGCAGCTCAGTAAAAACTGACCTCATTACCAGACAAGAAATAAGAAAAGCAAAATTTATACCTCATTACGCAATCTCTGAAGTGCTCTGGTGGACAGTCTGCACAAACTCAAACCAAGGCTGTTCATTTCATTTGAAAGGCTACTGTCAACAGAAATTAGCTCCAAATACATGCTTGCAATACTACTCAAACCAAGGCTGTTCATTTCATTTGAAAGGCTACTGTCATCAGAAATTAGATCCAAATACATGCTTGCAATACCATCTGCTAACGTAATTACCAAATCTTCTAAAATGGATACTCCATGGTGGGTAAACAAGGTATGATTGTAGTAGCCATTTGGCCTGTTAAGACACGCACATTGAGGTAAGTTAAGGATCTTGTTGGATCATATTCCAATGTTTAACCTTTCTAAATTTAGAATATTGCTACCCACTTGGCAGAATTGTGTTTATCAGATCCAGTATACAGCCTAGTATAAATCCTTCTAATTTGTATGAATTTAGTTCAACACTTTTTTATCCCAAGAAATAGTTGTAGTCTATTAAGTAATGCACACAATTAAAGTTTAACATCCGATCAAAAAACATCATGAAGAAAGAAACATCATAATCTCCAATAGAATAATTAGAAATGGACTCATAAAGAAGAAGTATCTCAGTCAATATTATTGGAAATACACATGGAAAAGTCAATGAAAGAAAGCTTCAGGAACACATACAGACTCTAAGATAATTTTCGCATGTGGTACTGGAATATTCATAATATATGTAATAAACATTTCAGTGCAGCAATCCCACTTCTGTTCTGCTTATGTACTCTTAAATATCTCCGCTACACCTTTATCTTGACATATCATTTCCTATTTATCCATTTGAAGAAATGTAATGTGAAATCTTTAAATGATGGAAGGATGAAGAAAAATTAACACGTGGCAAAGCCTTCGAGTGAAAATATAAATGAAGCATATATGAACAGTAAACCATATTAAGGAAAAGAAAAGTAAACATCTTGAAGCATGCATGCACTAATCCAAAATAAAAATTTCCAAGAAGAGCAAAATAGCTCCTTTACCTGACAGAACCGAATCTAAGAGCAAATATCAATTCAGCATATAGATCCTCCTTGCCCGATTTTCTTATATTTCGCAAAATACTGTCACGTCCATTTAACTTGTTGACGACAGAAGAAAGAAGTGCCTGATAGAAAGGAGGAAAGCAGATTATGATAGCAACGGCTAAATCTTTTCTTCTCTTCAATGAACTAGTAGCAGGAGTAATATGTAACTATTTGTCATATTAGTCCATATACCATGTCAGGTTTCCTGGTAACAAGGCAAAGCTCCTCTTCCATCCATGCAATGCATAGCGGCTGACAGCATTTCCGAATGATTTCATTAAAGACCGCCAAGAAATCATTCGAGTGCATTGTATCATAGTTGCCGGAGATATTTACCACCTGTAGAATAGTTTGTGAAGCCGACTTTAAGGAACTGGGTGAAGAACAATTCAAGGGCATAAAAACACAAATGTGGATAGGTTCACTAATAGTCTCTGTCATTTCTTTCATCCTATCAAATAGAGTAAAAAAATGAAGGAACCTAATCCCTCCCTTAACCTTTTTCCCATGTCACAAACACAGTCGTTAGCATCCAGATCATTTACTGCTAGACAAATTTTGTTTTGTACAGAATATAACTAGTAAAAAGAAAACATGATCAAGTCGAACATGTTCCTAGTGACATGGATGAATTAGCATGAACTAACAACTAATATAAACAGAAATTACCCAACTATTACTAGTCAACAAGTACAAATACCACCTTCCTAGGGGAATACAAGGAGTGCTAAATTAAACGTGCGCAGTTTAAGTCCGTGTTTGGCTAATGTTTATAAAATGTTTATAATCTGTCAAACCACTTTTTTATCCGCAAGCACTCATTCTATTGATTTATTATTTAAACCGATTATAAAGAACTCCCAAACACGCTTTAAGTAAGTTGGAGCTTATGTTTTTCAAATATAACTATCCAGTAACCCAACAGACAACTTTTGAATGTCTATCTTTTCTCTCGATATTGATTTGTAGAGAAGTGATTAGACTCAATTCCTTCAAACTTGGCCCTGAATTTGAAATCAATAAAAAATTTAAAAGAAAATAATTTCAAAGCAACAAGAAAGACAGTGCCTGCCTCGTCCTTGAGCCACTGAAATGAAGCCCACAGCAACCTCATCCTGGGACCCTCAGCAACAGCACACAAACTTGAAGGCTTTTTCATATGGCCTTCTTCAAGTTCAGCAATCCTATCACCTAAATTTACCTCATTTTTTATAAAACATAGGGAATCCATGAGCTTGCCTTTCACAATATCCCAGGCAAACTCCAAATATACCTCCTTATCATTCACCATGGCACTGCAATTAAAGAAATAATATCTCATACACGAAAAAAGATAAAATCGTACAGATTTTTATATCATAGATCGCATATATCATAAGGTACACATGATATTTTTCGAACTAAAACAAGCTTTTAACCTGGTCCTTTCTTCCCTACCAGAAAAGGAAGAGTTTTCAGGGACCTCGTTATCTTCTGAGATTCTTGTTTGAGTGCTATAAGGGAAATTCTCAGCAGGTATTACACCAGCCATGTATGTCAGGGCTATGCTCACTAACCGAAAGACTTGGTCCACTACAGGAATCCAGTCAGAAGTAATTGGAGAATCAGCATTCACCAGAGCACTCATGCACCGACACCTCTTAAAAGTATTCTGTTGTGGCATTACATTTGGTATTCTCAAGTGAGGAGCTATGAGCTTGCAAGCATTCTGTGCCGAAAACTGGTAAACTTTGCAATTTTTGAAGTAGCCCTTCCTGAAAAGGGAAAAATGTCACTGATAACAATTAAGTAGAAATAGTGTGATGCCCATTTCTGGAGAATCACTTGAAAACGACAATTAACCACATAAGTTATTTATGACACAATTCGAAGGCTCAATATATAAAATCTCATTCAATACTCAGCTAGTGGAACAATAAAAATTGAGTTCACTATAATAATTAAAGAGGACCTGTTTATGTAGAATTAATTAAATCATAGGTAATGGAGTGGGAGAATGAACTGAAACCTTGGTGTAGAGACATGAAATGTTTTAGGCGCAAAGGGTCGTCCATCCAGAATGTTTCCATGAGTATGCAGCTTGACAGGGGACAAAAGAGCCAGATACTCGGCCATTGTTAATATTTTTTAATCCTGTAAGCTCAGTCTATGGCTTACGTACATCTTGGAAATTGCAAAAGCCTCAGTTCCGAAAACATCACCTGCAAAATCACTATTGAGCACTTGAATCTGAAAACAAAATTAAAGTTAAAAAATATACACCAAACAGTGCTATTCACGACTTAACTTATCCAATTTATAACAAATAATCCCAACACTTTTCTTCCTTTCGAATCCGGAGATAGAATATTAGTTCATTATGAAACAACGAGATACTTCCAATAATGTAAATTGCTACTGGTACAATGAAGAACATTCAAAAAAAAGAACAACTGGATAAAGCCGTGGATGAGCTTACCAAGAAATGAAACCCTAGAGGTGATGTAATGGAGGTAGAAATATATATCAGATGAAATTTAGAGTTCCATTAATGACAAAAACAGTTTTGATACAGCGCAAAGCGGTGGTGAGAATGAGGATTGGATGTGTGCGAACCTGATTCTTCAAATGGATTGGTCAATCGCTTTCTCACTTCGTATGAAAAGTTTAAAAATTTAGAACAGAAGATAGAGGGAGGGGGCAACAAATAGAGGAAGTTCCAGAGGAAATAACCCATATTTATCATGTTTAGGAATGCAAAATGGGCCCACCTGTCCTACCTCGTGGGGTCAACTAAAATATCCACATTTCCCATTTCGTTTTCTTATTCGCGTTGGAAAAGTTACAGGTGGCGATATTTTAGAGGAGCTCGACGATAAAAAAGTTTAGAGCCTGTTTGGTTGTGAT